TGAGTCGATGAAAAGCACAATAGCGACAAAGAATGATAAAGTAAGAGATTGGATTTTTTGCAAAATTATAAAGAATTTAGATCTACCAACTGGAGAAACAGCTTGATCAGGAGGTGACTTCTGCTAACATTTACAGGAAAAAGACCACTGCGAATATAAAGGTTAGTGTTGATGGATTTTGCAATAGCTTGCAATATATTTGGACTTACATAGCTTACAATATATTTGGACTTATTTTAAGCTAATTATAAAGATAATCCTATAGCCAATCACACTTTCAGGAACTCAAAAACGAGCTCTCCCAACTGCGGAAACAGCTTCAAACTCAACAATGTCAATCCACTCCCGAAGTCGTTGTTGAGTTGCCCGGTCCGTCATCGGGCAGCAGAAGTAGGACGAGCTCAATCACAAGCATTGATCAAGTGAGTTTAAATAATTTTAAATGCAGTTTGTTTGAGTTTGACGATCGTCAAAAATCCATAACCGCAAAAGCTTTAAAAATTTTTGAGTCACCCTTCGATTTGATTGATTTCAAAGCGCTTGAAAACAACGGTATACTTCTTCGCGAGAAACTGACGTGATTTCGGTCACTTTTTCCTTGTCTTCTGATGAGGATAAAGAATTTGATCGAGTTGCAGCAGCTCTCAGCTTCTCCTCGTAAGCTCCTCCTCGTCGTGGCCACATTTTCATCGGCAAAAACAAATTTAGCTGCATCAATTGATTGATCTACATCTCCCAATCGGCTCTAAACTTGGTTCAGTTCGTCTCCCAAAGCATCTTCATCTGCTTGAGTCTCATCTTCGAGATCCGTGTGTTTACTTGCTCTCAAATGTGCCCGTTTTATTCCACTTCCTTCATTGATCGCATTCAAAATCGTCGAACTCTTGCCAAGTATTGTAGAAATGATCGATTGTGGCTCAAAATACTTTGTCAATTCACGCGTCCTTTTGAAACCGAGAGATCGATTATTACCTTCTTCAGGTTCATGGCTCAGGTTCAGGCTGTTTAATCAAGAGTTGTTTTAAGTCGTTTTATATGGGGCTCGGCCGGAACTGAGCATGACCATCGTTATATCGAGAGTCGATTGTATAAATTCTTTTTTCTTGCTAACATTATTCATTTTCCAGGTTGGGCGTTCATCAGAGGCTTCCTACAATTTGCAATCGCCACAAGAAGAGATCGCACCTCCATTCCAACAGGCCATGATCGAAAAGGTTAGTTGAGTAAACATTAGGCATAAAAAGACTAATAGCGAGATCTGGTTACATAATACGATTGATAATCTTAAATTTACTAATCTTGAGCTTTAGATCGTCAAACTCCAAAAGCAGCTCGCAAGACGAACGGAGAAAATCGAATTCCTTGAAGAGCACGTGAAGCAATGTTTAGAGGAGCTGCAGAAGAAAACAAAGTGGGGAATTGATTGACAGTAAAAGGAAAACATCGGACAAACTTTATTCAACAATAACGAATTCAGAATCATTCAATACTATGCCCTTCGAGAAGAGGCTTCGCTTCTTGTACCAGATGATAAAGATCTACGAAAAGTGAGCAATGACTTAAATGAGCAATGACTTCTAGACACAATATTCTAGACACAATATTCTAGACACAATATTCAAGACACAAGATTCTAGACACAAGCTTCTAGACACAATATTCTAGACACAATATTCTAGATACAATATTCTAAATACAATATTCTAGACACAAGATTCTAGACACAAGATTCTAGACACAAGATTCTAGACACAAGATTCTAGACACAATATTCTAGACACAAGATTCTAGACACAATATTCTAGACACAAGATTCTAGACACAAGATTCTAGACACAATATTCTAGACACAAGATTCTAGACACAAGATTCTAGACACAAGATTCTAGACACAATATTCTAGACACAAGATTCTAGACACAATATTCTAGACACAATATTCTAGACACAAGATTCTAGACACAATATTCTAGACACAATATTCTAGACACAAGATTCTAGACACAAGATTCTAGACACAATATTCTAAATACAATATTCTAAATACAATATTCTAAATACAATATTCTAAATACAATATTCTAAATACAATATTGTAAAGCTTATGCCTCACTACTGAAAGTAAACTGAGTAAACTAGTAACTCACTAGTAAACTGAAATAAATTGTTTAGTTAACAAATAGAAATTTAAATGATATTTAACCTTATCTATATCTTTTAGCTTCTCGATATGTGTGAAGTGGTTCAGGTAAAAGTAGTTTTTAAAAAATCGTTGTACAGTCGCTGGTGTAACTCCATTTTCACTTTTCACCCTATCAAGCTATCCCTGATTTAATCAATGTTTTCAGAATGAAAGTTGAGATTTAGGTTCCAATCTCGAAAAGGACTGCTCCAGCCTACAGTTTGATGGGATCGATGTGGTCAACGGGGAATGACAAATCGGCGCTGCAATTAGCCACCGAAGTGAACTCTCGACTACAAGCTGTGCTTGAGGAGACATTGTTGAAGAATATTGCGCTAAAGGTCTGAACTGATCATCAATATACCCTGTCACCGATAACCAGTATGGGATTGAAGTGGGCATAGTCTCGGTCCGAGTTTTTTTTCTCAGTCAGGTTTGGTCGAACGCGAGCCGAGTGGTTAATTCTTTTTAGCTGAACTGATAAGGGAAGGTCACAAGGCTGAGTTGGCCAAATGACATGAGCCAAACGCAAAAGCCAACGATAAGAAGCAGAATTTTTACGCTGATTGATGCTGATGATAATTCGTTTTCGTTCTCGATTCGATGACATTTCTACAAAATGATTCGGAAAACGCGAGCAATCTGGCAAATAAGTTTGAGGTCTAATTAGAGGTCAGCCTCTATATAAGGCTTCTTTCACCGTCTCGAAATGTGGGCTTATGGTGAAGTGGATAAGAGTCTTGTTTCCGAAACAAGCTATTAAGTTTTTGCTCGGGTTGATCCCTTCTTTTTGTTTTATTTTGATGTTTAACCGCTCGAATTCGCTCTATTGTTATGATAAAATAAGTATTATAACATCTTTCATTCTATTCATTCACTTTATACTTGCTGCCTCTTGTTATTATATTTCTTATCAATTGAAAGATGTCATAATACTTATTGTAAAGTTAGAATAGAGTGAATTAGAACAATTAAACAACAAAATAAAACAAAAGAAAGGGACCAACCCGAGCAAAAACTTGATAGCTTATTCCGGAATCAAGACTCGTATCCACTACACCATAAGCTCACATTTCGATACGGTGAAAGAAGCCTTATATAAAGACTGACCTCTAATTTGTCCTCAAACTTGTTTGCCAGATGCCTCGCGTTTCCAAATCATCCAAATCCAAAACCAAAACGGATAGCAGCACCGAAATCAGAGTAAAATTCTGCATCCGATGGCATATGGCTCGTGTCATTTGGGCACCTCAGACTTGTGACCTTCTCTTGTGAGTACAAAAAACGAGACCGAGACCATGTCTAATGTCTAGAGTTTGTTGAGTTTTACATTAACTATTTCTTGGGCTACAGCTGTCCCTCAACACTGACAATTTCTTAGCTTTTATAGGAAAAGTTAAGGTTTTTCGCAAATCAACTCACTCTATGACACTAGTTAATCAGAATTAGGCATTGTTGTGCCTAATTCTGATTAACTCAGGGTTTGGCTTTGGCTTTGGCTTTGGCTTTGGCTTTGGCTTTGACTTTGTCTTTGGCTTTGGCTTTGGCTTTGGCTTTGTCTTTGGCTTTAGCTTTGGCTTTGGCTTTGACTTTGGCTTTGGCTTTGGCTTTGGCTTTGGCTTTGGCACTGGTTTATCTGCTTGACTCTCTGCAAGCTAAAACATTGTGCAAAAAAAGTGCAAATCGATAGTGAGGTAAAGAATTTTTAGTCAAATTTCTCTTTTGAGAGAAAACAGCTTCATGATATCAATTGCATAATTGCAATTGCAATTGCATAAATCACATTTGCAAATAATCCAATCTTGCCTTTAAAGAGCATAGCATTTGTTTCAAGACGATCTTTAGACAAGTGTCGACAATCTCGGTGAAGAGATCGCTCGACTATCACGAGAAAATCGACAGCTCAGTTTGAAGTCTTGAAAGTCTTTTATTGATTCTTTTAAAATTCTTATTTTCTTGATTTCTTGATTTCTTGATTTCTTGATTTCTTGATTCTCGATTTCCCTAATATACAAAACCCTTGATCAAAATGAAATACAAAATCTCAGAATTGTTCCCGATTCTTTCACCCATTGCCATCATCATTTCCCAGCTCACTTCTCTTGATTCTCTAAAGGTCTGTGAACAAGTGTATTTCGTGAAAACTAGTCTGTTAAATTATTATTGTATATCGAAAATTGTGACAAATTTTTAACTGGTCTCTTTATGTTGTGATTTTTATGAATTTTTATGAATTTTTCGCTTTTTCTCTCTCGACAAACATTCCTTTCAAATTTCTATGACTGATTGTCCAAAAAAAAAGCTTTGAAAGGTGATAAAGCTGATAAAGATATGTTATGTTATCCCATACAAAACTTTGCACACTTATAGCTTTTAACAGAGTACTCAATAGCAGAAAAGGAAAGCAAATTCAAAATCGGCGTTTGAATTTTGCGTCGAACAACCTGTGGCAAACTTTCATTTAGCCACCACACTGAGTTGAAATTCCTTTGTGGATAAAAGTTTGCAAATTTTTGAAAGAAGCGGACATTCTAGACTTTTCCCTAGATCTAATAATGATCTTATAATACTTTAACAGTACTACAGTACTTTTAAGAGTACTACAGTACTTTTAAGAGTACTACAGTACTTTTAAGAGTACTACAGTACTTTTAAGAGTACTACAGTACTTTTAAAACTCTTGCAAAGCGATTAAAAGGTTTAAAATTATCGATACGCAAATTTTCTGTTTATCTTTAGATTCTGAAAATTTATCAAATACAACACAAAATACCCGTCAGTGATACATACAAAAAGAAAAATAGGGAAATGAAAATCAAGAGCATTTCACATCAGCATCCCAACATGTTCTAATGGAACTCGGCGTTATCTGGTACAATATGATAAATGCCAAAGCAGCCCATGTAGTTCCTGAAATTGCATAGATTACTTTATTAAGCCTAGCATTAAAATTAACAAGTCAATAAGTAATGATTCTCCTTTATTTACAATCAGCAGTTTTCAGCTGCTAACCCTTCGTGCCAATCGATAAAAAAAAAATCGATAAAAACTAGTACAAAGTTGCCGGGACTTTCTGCGAAATAAATCACAAAATTCCTTAAAAACTTGACACCAAAAATAATCGTCATCAGCCCACCGGTGGGTTGTATTGTCGTGAGTGTGTCAAGGTGCTTTAAAAGCTCTAATATCACTTTAATTCTTGTACAAGATTACTGTAGTTTGGGCAAGCTGATACATTTTTGTAAATTCAAAAAACAGGTTGACGTGTGATTGCTTTAGTAGCTTAGTAGTAGCAGGGTTTTTCCATCGCATTTGTTGCTATAAAAGCAACAAAATCTGTAGATTAAAGGACCAAATCTATATATAAAAGTAACTAAATCTATATTATATTAAAAAGGAACCAAATCTGTAGATAAAATGTACAAAATCTGTGGATAAAGGGACTATTTGGTTCCTATCCCCGCCAAGACCCATCCCAGCCAAGACTTAGTTACCTGGCGCTTTTTTTTCTCTTTTAAATCTTGCATTTACACCAAAGAGTCAAGTATTTTTTGAAGCTTATTAGATTAAAAATGTCTTCCAATTAAACACTCACCAAATAAGTCGCCCATACCGGTCAATATGGGAATCGAATGTAAATCCGGATCCACTTTATACCGCCACATCGCGAACACCAAGAATTGGCAGCAATAAAGGAGAATGAAAATCTGAAACGGTATGGTAGCCATAAAATAAAAAATAAATCGCTAAAATGTTTCTTACCTGTACAAAAGCGGCAGCGAGATATCCTAAAGTGAATTGCCAATTGATCATCGGAAGTGGATTGATCACACCGGCTTTGTGCAGCAAGTAGGAAACCAGATAGGTCAAGGAGACGAAAATTGCCTAAAAAATACTGGTACAAGGATTCACATCTGAAAAAAACTAGATTCAAATTGGCTTGCCTTTTTCAGAAGTTTTAAGGGGGTAAAGACTTTTGGGATCTTGCTTAGTTGCTGGGTATTTTGAACGGGTCATCACGCTTTAAAGGCCTATAACTTGGTCCAGAGATGATATTTTGACTATCATTGTACAGAGGACATTTCAGGCTTTCAAATGATACCAAATAGAGCTTGGCTGGATTATTCATTCCCATGAAAACCAGGTGACACGACACCTGAGTTGAATAGGTCTCATTTGCTCAGAGTTGGCTCTGATTTTCTTGGACTGGATTATCGAATCAAGCTCTATTTGGTATCATTTGAAAGCCTGAAATGTCCTCTGTACAATGATATACAAAGTTGGTCAAAGTATCATCTCTGGACAAAGTTATAGGCCTTCAAAGCCTGACGACCCGTTCGAAATATCCGGAAACTAAGCAAAAGCCGACTTTTGTACTCTCTTACTCGTACTCTCTTACTTTCTCTTACTTTTGTACTCTCTCTTGTACTCGACTTTTTGTACTCTCTTTTGTACTCTCCATTCTTACTCACCTGGAACGGAACGGCTGTGGCCAAAAGAAGTCTAGCAGCACCTGAGTCATCATCTAAAAGAAATTTACTTGTATTATCGCATGTGTACTTTGTAATATTGTACTCGCAAGCTTACGCAAGTAGCTTACTGCAGTTTATTCTGTTGCTTACCTTTTGAAAAGTAACATCTCAACACCGACGTGTACTTCCATAGAGTATTTCCCTTTGGCAGCTCGCCGGACTAGACAAAATTGATTTTAAAATTGAATCAATTAGATCTAGTAAGCTATGCTGATTTAAGAAACTCACAGTATGATGTGTGAAGAGTCTTGAGGCAATTCTGGAAGACTGAACGGCCACTCGATTGCCGGCAATTCCGGCCATCAACGGTTGATAGAGAGACATCTCCGGGAAAGAGTTGATACAGATTTGCAAGATGAAACCACCACATCTGAAATTACAAATACACTAATGCCTATATTCTTATGTTCGCAACTTTCAGAACATTTTTGAAGAAAGAAATCCTCAAATCTTTGTCAAATCTTTAAACGTTTACTTTGATCGTTTAATCCAAACAGTCAAAAACTACAGGGTGCGTAAAAAGTTCCCAAAATCGATATTTTAAACGCTTGCAGAGCTTAAAATTGAACTGAAGAGCAAGTTTATATAATTTATTTTCAGAAATGACCCAACATAAACAACATTCAGATTACAAATATACCTTTTTCTTTGATACAGGCCTTGAGTCTCTTAGAAAATGCCGAGAAAAGAAAACGGATATGATCGGGATCGAGACCCAAGCTTTCTCAAGAGCACGTCGCAGAAAAGTGAAATTTAGATGTCGTGTGGCACAAGCCTTGCTCTTCATGATAGACCATATCGAATCGGATTCAAATCCGGTCTGTTTGGAGGTCATTCAGTCGACGCGATAAACCCCGGGAAATCCGCCTGGCACCAATCTTGAACGATCCGAGTTTTGTGAACTGATGCAGAATCCTGCTGGTAAGTCCAAATGCGTCCGTTAAAGCTAGAATTAGCCCAGGGAAAAAACTTTTCATTAAAACATCATTCAGATAGTTTTGGCTATTCACTTTGACTTCCTGATCCAGGAAAACAAGGGATCTCTTCCCATCAGCGGTGATCGCTCCGAAAACCATGATAGCCTGAGGGTGAGCTGTCCAAGAAGAAATTCTGTCATTCTGAGAAGCTTGTTTAATGTTTCCTACAAGAATCCGATCATTTTGGTGGCTCACAAACTGCTCCACAGTGAAAAAACACTCGTCCGACCGTTGAAGAGGCGCGTGCCGGAGTGGGGAAGCGTTTAAGCAGCTTCTTGCAACGGTCCAAACGAGTCGCTATCATGCGGTCGGTTAAGCCGTGGGTTTTTGGATCTTGTATGAATATTTGTGCAGATTTTTGTAAACAAAACGAACAGATCCTTTGGAAATTTTCTCTCTTTAGGCCATTTCCCGCATCGACCTTCTTAGGTCCCTGCGGCTTCTTTCTCGGATTCGTTTCACAATTCCTGGAGTAGTAGCTGTTTTTGGCCGTCTCGAACGTGGACGATCGTTTGCCGAACCGGTAAGCTATCTTCTTCTGCAGCTGAAGCTGAAGGTATCCTCTTCTGCAGCTGAAGCTGAAGGTATCCTCTTCTGCAGCTGAAGCTGAAGGTATCCTCTTCTGCAGCTGAAGCTGAAGGTATCCTCTTCCGTATCCTCTTCTACAGCTGAAGCTGAAGATATCCTCTTCCGTATCCTCTTCTACAGCCGAAGCTGAAGGTATCCTCTTCCGTATCCTCTTCTGCAGCTGAAGCTGAAGGTAATAGTAAACGGTGCTCTTTGGAATGGCGAGTTGCTTCGATTTGTTTGGAATGGAGTTTGGCGATTGCTAACGTTCCTACTCCAGATTTCGGTGGACGCTAAATGGCTGGTCGAAGATTCCTCGCGCGAGCCATCCAAATAATTATGTTAAGGAAGAAACTAATAGAATAAAACGCAAACACAAAACAATTACTCAAAAAAAACAAAGTTATCTGGTCAGCAAACTAGAAGATCGCCTAAAAAAAGCATGCGTGATTCGATTCCGGGAACTTTTTGTACAATAATCTCATCTCTATTTTTGTTCAATCTATCGACTTTTGCATTTTTCGATATCCTCTGTGAACTCTTACATAATCAAACCAAAAGCATAGTAGATACATACGATATTTTCTAAAACTCATCAGGTTTTACGACACTCCATGTATCAAGTCATTTTATGAACTTTAGAGCTTGAATCTTTCCCAATTCTGAAGTCTCAAACGCCTCGATTTTTGCTGTCTAATCAATCCAAACAGCTAACGCGTTTTCTTAGCAAAAATTTCGGAATATTTTCTGTGCTTTCTGCAAAAAATTTAGAGATTCCAGCAAGATGATCCCATAATCCGGCGTCTTCAAAAACGAGAAAGATTCAGAGATAAGCGACCGGGTTCAAAAAGCGTCGAAACTAATCAAAGAAAAAAAAGGGGGATCTCGGAAAAACTCACGCTGAAAACACGGCCGACGCAATCAAGGAAAACCATGAAGTTTTTAGCATAGCTCGACATTTCTCATCTTGCAAACATTTGTAGAGCCAAAAAGGCCAGAGACCGATGATGGCAATGATGACGATTATTGAGGGAACCATTTTCCAGGAGGCATTGCTATTATAGGGAATGTAGAGAACCGATCCATAGGCAACCTGTAAAAGAATCAGTTAACTGAATTAGTTCTGAATTAGTTAGCTGAACCAATTAACTGATTCAGTTAACTGAATCAGTTAGCTGAATCAGTTAGCTAAATCAGTTAGCTGAATCAATTAACTGAATCAGTTAACTGAATCAGTTAGCTAAATCAGTTAGCTAAATCAGTTAGCTAAATCAATTAACTGAATCAATTAACTGAATCAATTAACTGAATCAATTAACTGATTTTGAGAAAAAAATCTGATGAACTCGAATTTGAATGAGCAAAAAGTTACATTTTTTGATCATGAACAGGAAAAGTGAGTTAGCGTGCTTGTTTTTTTACAAGTTTACAAGTTTTAACAACATTTTACTCACCAACAAACACATGCAAGCCAGATCACCCATCGAGGCCGCGATCGGCGCTGTGATGTTATCCGGATTCACGTTCTTGCGTCTGAATTCTTGTTTTCGTCATGTTTCAAAAAAAAAATCAAGAACTATCCAAGTTACAATATAATTTTGATACCTAGAAACAATGACCATTGTAGCCATGACAGTATCCATGACTCCACACGATGTGCAAATGGTCAATAAACCAGTGGCGATCATCAATGGAATGTGTGAGCCAAGGGAGTCCATCTAAAGAGAATCTACTGATTTGAAAGTTAAAAATTCCACATTTTTTTCCAAATCTTCGAATTTTCCTTACCGATGGAGCTCCTTGAATGTGCAAAGCATTCTGGATGGCTGACAGTGCCAAGGTAATCGCGGTGGCAAAGAATGAGATGATGATGGCTTGAGCCTGAAATTTTGAGTTGATTTATTGCAAGATTTGTAATTTTTATAAAAATTTACCTGCACAAGCATCATGTTGATCGGCACGCGTTTCTTGATTCCACTCCATGTGTCCAGCTTTCCCTGGTGACTCTAAAAGACAGGTGATTGCCAGGTCAGGTAAGACAAGCTGCTGGGAAGAGAAGGTTAGGGCAAGCTAGAAGCCAAGGTCTGGCTTGGCTTATGTCTTTACATTACCCTACATTACATTACCAAAAGCTCGGTTCTACTATTAGGGTGGTAGGAATGATTCTATTAGGGTGGTAGGAATGAAACTAGCGCTCACCTTTCTTTCTAAAATAAAAAGATTGCAAGCCACAGTCAATAAGTGTGTTGTATACTGTTCAAAAGCCCTAAATCTCCTCTACAAAATAGTGCAAAAAGATTAGGAATTGGATTGATTATTGGGGACTTGCGTGTTCAAAAGTAACCGCAGGTTGATTCTCAACCTGGGTACCTGTGCCTGCTGGCAAGTCTTCAATCATCAATCAAATCAAATCAAACAATCCAATTCCTAATCTTTTTGCACTATTTTTTAGAGGAGATTTAGGGCTTTTGAACAGTATACAACACTTATTAGCTGAGGCTTGCAATCTTTTTTATTTTTGAAAAGATGTGTGAGGACGGGTTTCATTGCCGCCACCCTAGCACATGTGCTTCTATTTTTCAATGTCCCAAAAGCGACCAAAAAAGTAGGTAAGGGGAACGACATGAATCAAAAATTTAGAATTATTATGAAAAACATGTTTTTAATTTCACTGCCGATGGTATATTAGGAAGATTAGATCTAGAAATCTCCATGGAGGGGTCACAAGGGGGTCTAGAGTCAAGATTTCGAAAGATTTCGATTGTTGACTATTGAAATTTCGATTGGGTCTTTATGTTGCTTCTATTAGATCTAATATTCTAATTTCGCTACGGGGCAACACACGGTTTTCTCTCGGCTTTGAGATACAATGAGGTGGGATAGGAAATTAGTAGCTTCTTCCTTTTGTTTATTATTTCTTCTTGGGCAAAGATGGGAGCAATAGCTCAGTGGTAAAATATTAGGCTGGTAAGCGAAAGGTCGAAGCTTAAGACTCAGGGTTCGGGCCGAGTTTTGTTTATTATTTTTTCGTGGACGAAGAAGGGGCAAATAGCTCAGTGGTAAAATATTAGGCTGGTAAGCGAAGGGTCGAAGCTTAAGGCTTAAAGATCGAGGATTCAATTCCCTTGGTTTCCAAATTTTTCTAATTCTTTTCTTACTTTCATCTCTTATAATTTTTATTAGGTTTTTAATCTAATAATATGTTAAGATAATCTATTTTTCTATTTTTTACTTTAAGACAACTCAAGCTTGTCTTCAAGCTGGAAATTCAAGATTCAAGACCGTGCTTCTATTAGAAAAGATACGGTAGTTACAGCGAAAACCCCAAATTTTCCAATCCACTTACCATTGTCGCTAATCTCGAAGCAAATGTCATGTCCAAATTTCCCTTCAATCCCATAATCGGTGTCGATAAGCCAATCATTTGCGGGATATTTCTAAAATTTAACAAGATTTTAATAGCAATGCTCAATTGTTGGTTAAGATTTAAAGACTTACACAAACAATGCAAACTGTTGTGCTTGATTTAGAGCCACTCCTGCGCCAATTGATCCAAGTCCGGCAATAAGGAACGGTAAAGCGCTCTAGAATTTAGCTGTGCTTTTAATCTCTCAAGATTTCTAGACTTGAATCCAAATGGTCATAATCGTTTCTTTGGTCATCATGTCTTTGATCGATTTCAAACTGAGCAACGAGCTGGCTCTTGACTTGATCGATTTCATCGAATTCTTGCGAGACCTTGTTTTCATCCATGTTCCTGAAATTGCTAATTGCTATAGCATGGTGTATTAGTAAAAGTTTTTGTTTTAAACAAGATTTAAATTGAAAAGAAGAATAGGTTTTGAATAATCTATTTAATCTAGTGAAATCTTAACTTTATTAACCAATTTAACCAATTCATAGATATTTGACAGAGTTTTAAGCGACGTACACTACTGGACAATGAAATGTCATATTTGAAAAAAGATCGTCACTTTCGCGCGTCTGTAACTCCCTTGTCTTTACCGTATTTCTAAATATTAATATTACCATTGTGTAGCCCTTGAAAAGAGCTTTCAGAAATTGTATAACACCAATAGTTTAAACTCAAAGACAAGGGAGTTACAGACGCGCGAAGGTGACGATCTTTTTATCAAATATGATATTTCATTGTCCAGTACTGTAGTTTACTTTTTCAAGCTATTGGAAGCTTAAATCAAAATTTCAACTAGTAAAACTAACGTCATTTACTCAAAAACTAACTCAAAACTTTGATCTTAAGCTTTTCTTGTTAATTCACTTTACTTTCAAACATTTTATTCACGAATGACTCCATTTGACTCCAAAGACTCCATTTTTCTTTCTTATTGTGTTAATCTATTCAATGTTAAAAGTATTTACAGGATTTGAAAGCTTTGAAAGACATGAAAGCTTTGAAAGCTTTGAAAGACATGGAAGCTTTGAAAGCTTTAAAAGAAATGGAAGCTTTGAAAGCTTTGAAAACTTGAAACTTCTAATCCCTTAACCAAACGATTCACAGGATTAACCTATTCAATGCTAAAAGTTTTTGTTCAATTTCAAATCTCGCGTGATCTTTGGAACAATCCGAGTGCTTAGAATAATCTGAGATTTCGCCAAAGATCAAGCTTCAAGCTTTCGCCAAAGATCAAGCTTCACTTTTTGGCGTTAAACTGCAAATCATTCTTTTGTGCAAATTTATGAGCTGTGAAATGGGTCGTTTTTTTCAGAGAGCCACACGGGAGTGCCTTGTGATAAATCTCGGTTTGATAGAAAGCTTATCTATTCCCCTCTTCAAATCAATTACCCCTTTTCTCCCCCGCCACCTTCTTCTTCTGGCCGATCACTGTCCAGAGTGATCTCAAAAAACTCGGTCAAATCGATAAAAAAGGAATGACGTGACTTTACAGCTTTACAATCGGATATGGAATTGGGTTACTTTTTGAACGATAGCTAAACGATAGCTCGAGTAAATATTGAATGTTTGTGAATGAGATCAGTGAGTAAAATTTAGATATTAGAGTAAGAAATGGTATTCATAAACAAGAATAAGGCTTAGGAAAGCTCAAAAATCTCCTATTTGTTTAAAAAAGCTTTTGAACAAATAGCGGATGGATTTTGAAAACAAAAATGGGTTTATGTGAAATTCTAATAAGGCACTTAATTCTGGTAGAGTTTATGTAAAATTCTGACAATTCTGGCAATTCTGATAAGCAAGCAAGCGGCTGCTTAAGCAAGCAAAGAGTGGTAGCATTTTTCAAATTGGAATAGTTTGAGGAAGTAATTTTGCATTTAATTGCATTGAAAGGTTTCTTTTTTCGAGTTTATTTTAGAATCGAAATAGCTTCGAGTTTATTTTAGAATCGAAATAGCTTTTCAGAGCCATTGTCTTTTGACTAACCTCTTCGACTCAACGCGGGCGATCTCAACCCATCCGGGCATTCATCCGGATCAAAACCACCATTCTCATGACCATGATCCTCATGTCCATGTTTGATGTAATGAGTGATCGGTAGTTCATCTTTTTCGTCTTTATCTAAAGCCTTTTTTGTCTTTTTCGTCTTTATCTTCGATTTTTAATCTTATCTTTTAATCTTATCATTCTTTGAAATGTTATTTGTTATGTTTTATTTTCCGATACCTCATCATCTCATCAATCAATCACAAATGTAAAACTGCCATTCGCTTGGCGAAAACTATTTCAACTAGGCACTGCATCAAGCACCGCAACTTCAACTAGACTGCATTAAGCACTGCATTAAGCACTACAACTTCAACTAGACACTGCATTAAGCACTGCAACTTCAACTAGGCACTGCATTAAGCACTGCAACTTCAACGAGACACTGCATTAAGCACTGCAACTTCAACTAGGCACTGCATTAAGCACTGCAACTTCAACTAGACACTCCATTAAACACTGCAACTTCAACGAGACACTGCATTAAGCACTGCAACTTCAACTAGGCACTGCAAAGTCTAATGTAAAAGTCTAATGTAATTGTATATAATGTAAAACTCGTCAAGTTCAAATATTCAAGAAAATCTCAAACCATTGAGGCTTGTGATGTGAACTTCGGGTAGTTTATCCTTGTCATCATCTGGTTTTATCGGACCATGACCATTCATAGCACCATTTGGCTTGGTCATCACTGCAAGTTGATCACTGAAATTTGAATCTCAGGAAATTTGAATCAAAAACAAGGTGAAAATTCAAAAAAAAAAATCAGTTTTGAAAGTTTTACGTGAGAACCTGAATCAAAGCTGCTCACAACAAAAACAAAATTCAAATCGCAATCACATAAAAACAAAAGCACGGGTATTGAGCTAAAAATCGAGTCTAGGGCGGCTTAAAAAGATGGTAAAACAAAAGCGGAATTATCGGTGGCGAGAGCTTTTTGGAAGGGGTGACTGGGGGTGAAAAAGAAAAAGGAAACAAGGATCCCGTCTACCCGTATTTGAACTGAAAGGAGAAAAGGGCACACAGCAGCTCTTTTTCAGAAGAAAAAGAAGACGATAACGGTATTAGGGAAGATGGGCACGCATTCATCTCAAAAAAATGAAAAAAAGAAGAAAAGCCGGTGTGGAATTCGATCCCGTTTTTTGAGGGAAAAGGTGATGGAGGAGGCACAGCGATCAACCAACTTTTGGACTTGAGGTCAAATTGAAATCGTGGACTTCAGATGTTTTGGAAGGGTTCTGGACATTAGATACGTGCCGTGTCCCTTTTCCCATTGGCAATGTAACTTTAAGCTCAAATATCTTGGTGTTGGGCTATCCAATTTAAATATTCTTGATATCATTCGATGCGCCAAGTCTTTCTCTGTCGATTGGTACAAAAACTATTTGAATCGAACAGCTCAACACCAAGATATTGGAGCTCAAAGTTGGATTGTCAATGGCAAGGGGGAGGGGCGCGTGTAAAAGGTCTTTCTGGATCCGCCTCTTTTACCAAGTTAACTTTAAGCTCAAATATTTTGGTGCTGGGCTATCCAATTTAAATATTCTTGATATCATTCGATGCGCCAAGTCTTTCTCTGTCGATTGGCACAAAACGATTTGAATTGAACAGCTCAACACCAAGAAATTTGAGCTTAAAGTTAGATTGCCAATGGCAAGGGGGCGGGGCTCGTTTCAAATGTCTTCCAATCGTTTTGGGAATGCAATGAAACCTTTTTGTCTAGCATTTGCTGAAGGAATATGGCAAAGATTAATATTTTAAGTATGTGTAACTAAATAGCTTATCTGATGTGAGCTTTAATCGATACGGTTTACTAGCGAGATTGCACTGTGTGTAAGATTGTGACAGGAGAGACAAAGATCACCGATCTTTTAGACTCACTCGTCAGGGTCAAGATAAAATCCTGGACTCTTTGGACCTCACACGACTTTAAATTTTCTTTAAATTTAAATTCTTATCACTTTCCTAATCAAATTTTCCAAGGTTTAAGCTCTAGATTGGAATGGGAATTTAAAAGTTGAAGCAACTGGATTTTGATGATCAACAATTAAAATAACAAGACAAGCTGTTCAATAAAATCAATTTGATTTGATATATAATATCACTTGCTTGATCAAAAGTTTTGATCAACTTTAGGCCAAGAACAAGTTAAGTAGATTTCGCGAGTAGTTGAGTCAAAGATTTTCACCATTTTCACCAATCAAAGTACATTTTTAATGGAGGATTGACTCCAGAGCATCACATCATTGTGCTATTTCAAGCTCTATCATAAACGATTCAAGCTCTATCATAAACGATAATCCTGGTAGTAAAATGGACGTCGGATTTAGGCTGACTTTGCCTAGAATGACGAGGGTTTCACCGATAAACTGACTCAAATAAAAACGTCAACAAGTTTGTAAAAAGACAGAAACTTATTATAAGTGCTTTGAAAAATAAAGCAATTATGCTACTTGCACTTGTTCACAATGGAAACAAGGCAAAACTTTGAATGATTTGTTATTAAGCAGACCAATTAAGATACTTGAAAGTTTAAACTCAAAATTGCTTTATATTAAAAGCCTTTTCAGTGCATGACATTCATTCATACAATCGAATTTCAATGCATGACATTCATTCATACAATTCATCATTCAATGCTATGTGAAAAGAGGTGGTCAAAGAAAGGTCAAAGAAGGTGGTCATTTTTGTGGTGAAAGAAAAATCATTGGTCAAGAAAGCTTTCAAATTTTGGGAAAAATGAAAAGAGCTAGGTGAAAAAATTCGTAATGAATTCTGTTTAAAATTGTGCTATAAAAATCCTTATAAACCCTTCTTTTTGTCTTTCAGAGTATTCAGAGCTTCAAAAGATCAATTTGCGGGAAGCGGGACAGATGCGACCTTTTTTTTGCGCACCCGGGACATTTGCACACTACTAGCGCTTTAAAAAAGCTCTAAAACGCTAATATTAACCAAATTCCCTTTCAAAAGTTGTTTTTCTGGGTAATTTTAGGGTGTAGAATTCAAATTTTGACATATCAGAGCTTGTGGAACCAATTTGTGAGATAAAACGGGTAGATCAAATTACAGAAAATTGCCGATTTTTCCCCATGTATAACTCCGTCCGTTTGCTTCCACAAGCTCTGGTATGTCAAAATTTCGATTCTACACCCTAAAATTAGCCAGAAAAACAACTTTTCGAAGGGAATTTGATTAATATTAGCTTTTTAGAGCTTTTTTAAAACGCGAAAAAAAAGTGTGCTGATGAGCGCAAAAATGGTGCGCAAATGTCCCACTCCCCAATTTGCGCATTAATTTGA